ATGAATTGTGAGAATAGCATCTGTGTCACCATCTCACTAAGTTCTGCTTCTGGATTATTTCATTTCGGTGAGGAAATGAGTTCATTTCTGGAAAAGAGGATAGGATCTGTTTGCAAACTAAAACACAATGAAAGTTTTAACACTTGAAGAGGTAGCTACAATAAATAAAAAGGCTACAGTAGACAGGGGTTGGACAATGAGAAAGTGGGTTTGCTGAGCTACAGGCAGCAATCTGGTAGTGTGACCCTACTGTATATGGGAAGGAGATGGAGGCACTACTGAATATATACAGTAGATGCAAAGGGTCACGAAGCATAATTTGGAGGTAGCAATGGTACTGTACAGGCAAAAAAAATTATGCTCTATTATGGATAGTGGGTATAGGAAAAAGTTACTCCTTCCCCTGCTAACTGGTTTAACTGTATCCTTCACTGGTCAAAGCTAACGAAACCATAGTTTTGTTTGAGAGCAGGACTTTACTGTAGACATAGTCCAATACAACTTTTCACAGCACTCATTTCTTGTTTAAAATGTGCTTTTGATAGCAATATACATATATAGTACATACAGGACTATTATAGTGTGTGTATATATACATAATTATATACATAATGTTCAAATTAAAACTTATTTCTTCTCTAAAAGCTGACTGGTATCCTTCTGGGTGCGATGCATTAAGAGACACTACATTTTTTTCTAATGCCCTGGGTTGGCTGCATACTTAACAACAACTTTGCTAGTTGAATAGGACTTACACCAACTAAAAATAGTTTGAAAAATTCAAAGAGGCCTTTGTGAAAGCACTTATTCATCATGGAATTGCTGAGGTGCTAAAGGAACTGTGTTGCAAAGCAAGCAAGCTACCTATTTGGGAGTACTAGGGAGGTGGTAAGGCTCAAACACTCATAGTTCTAAGACCACTTTGAAAGTGGCAAGTGGCCTAGCTTCAGTTTGCAAGCTGGAAAAGTTAGAAGTGGGGGGAAAAAAGCTTACTGCTTTCATGCTGCCAGATCATAATTTACAAACATCTGCCACTGTCAAGTAACACAATCGTTGCTACTATACAACACTGTTTACCTTTGATGTGTTCTCCTGGCCAGGGTGGCATTTCCAGTGACACTGGGAATTAAAAACTAAAACAGATTTGTACACTGAAAGTGATCAGTGAATGCTTTAGAAATAGCAGACTTGTAATGAACAATAGGGAGAGGCAGCCTTTTGTATTGTTAATTTAAAGTCCTATTGGTTATAAATACTTAACTGAGGATCTTATGTTTTAAAAGTTTTGTACCAATTTTATTAATAAAAATTTAAGATCACTGGTCATTTGTGTGTTAATAAGTGGGCCATTAAAATACTAGCTGTGTTTTGTGTTAAACCAGATCTGTCTTTTGCCTCTTTTTAGCTTTAGAAAATGGTCAAAGAAATGTTTTATTACTAGTCTCTTCCTAGTTTTTTAGGCCCTGAATTTGCAATAGTGGTTAGTAGAAGATTTACTTTGAATTAAACGGGTGAAATATTAATCCTATTGAAGTCAATTGGCATTTTTTCAATTGACTTCAGAACAGCTAGAATTTTACCCAGTGTGAACAGAACCAGAGATTTCACCAATAATGGGGTTGGTTTTGCCTGAGTTAGTAGTACAGGGACAGGTTTATGACAAGGATGTTGTTACTGACTCTAAGATCAAGGGGACAACTGCTGCCCTCCATTGTTGTGTGACGCACTAAAAGTCCATAGCCGTCCTTACCTACCCTGCAACATATGGTAGCATATACCTCTTAATATTCTGCGGTAAAGCCAGGAGTGCAGCTTGGGATGAGTTTCTAAGACTAAACGTGGGAAAGAAGCTACCGGGCCTCTGGAATTATTGCACCGAGAAGAAATGCTGTTGCCCGTCACAAATGTGGGGATGGGAAAAAATCCTAACGGGCAGTCCTAGCCACCTCCCTACAGCGCACACAGAAGTAACACTCATTTTGTGGACAACAACAGTAACTCCCCCAGAAAGTGAGATAAAATCCTCCTGGATGGAAGCAAAAATCATCTTGAGTCCATCACCTCAACCCTTGTGACAAATACTTATTTTTTAGTTTCTCAACAGACCGTCCTGGTACCACAATTAGCAGCAGAAGTAATGAGATGCAAAATTACATCTCTGTATAGAAATAAGTTAATATGCTCAAACCACCTGCTCATCAAGGACACAACTTGTCTGAAGCCAGAATAAGTGTGTAGAATTTTGTCTTAAATTTTTAGCTGGGATTTCTCCATAGCTGTGTCTGAACATCTTCCACTCACCAGTGTTTGCTGTGTATGGTTGTTGGCAACCCTTATGGACTTTGTACTATTTCAGCATGAAATCAAGCAGTAAAAAGTGTTTTCAAGTATTCTTATCCAAAGCTGGAAATTACCAAAAAAAAGAGTCACGTACAAGATCAGTTTCTTATTTTACTGTACATTTTAGCACTGATTGATCACCGCATATCAGTTTTCACCATCTTGTTTGGTCCATATTTAAAGAAATCCTTAAATTTATTTAATTTTTTTTTTTGCTTAAATTCTCTAAGGAAGGGAGATAGGTTTAAATATATTTTCTTCAGACTTTATTGAGAAATTCCAAGTTGAGAGAAGCAGGGATGTGAATAGAGTCCATGGTGATGGAGGATGGGCTGAATGGAAACAAAACTGGGAACATGTATTTGAAGTCTAGCAGCAACTGTGGAGGGTCGTTTCGCTCTTGCAAATGTGCCTGCGGAACGTGGAAGAAAAAGAGCATAATGTCAAGTGTTATATTTCTATTAGCATTTGCAACACTTAACAGAATAAAAGATCTGAAGAGAACACCCCTATGGAAGCTAAGGTTCCAGATTCATTCTGAAGGGCAGGGGTGGCAAATTCATGCCTCAGGCTACATCTAGGTACATCCAGTCCAGGGCACAGAGCAGTTCCAGCTCAGGGCACGCACTGGTGGCAGTAGCTCTAGCTCTAGTACAGGGCATGCAGTACTGCTCCAGCTCCTGCTGTGTCCCCACTGCTGGAGCTGCCACCGCCACTGTATGCCTCATGCTATGGTGGCAGCTGTAACTCCAGCACAGGGCACACTGGCTCTGGCATGGAGTGGTGGCAGAGCTGGCAGACAGGGTAGGGCCACAGCAGTGGTGACAGGTGAAGCGGCTGGGTGTGGCTGGTGCATCAGCTCTGGCTCGCCGTCCTACGCCTGACTGGTATGCCTACTGGGGGCCAAGGGCCTCAGATTCTGCAGAAGACCACATCGCCTAACTTTCTGTGGCCTGCCAGTAGCCCAGTTAGGCAGATTCTACTCACAGGTCATACGTTTGACACCCCTAATGCAGGAAACTTATTTTGAACCAATACAAACACAACTTTCAGCATAAATTACTAACAAACTACAAAATAGTCTCAACACACGCAGTAGTAAAATTCATCTCTTCACACCGCTCATTAGTAACTTGTGGATCTCACTTTCACAGGTTGTTGTAAAACAGGCTTCAGTAGTAGAAGGGCTTAGGCAATTTTGTGGAGAAAATGTCTGTCTTGTAAGGACAAGCAGGCAGGGATGCAATTTCAGGTTTAGAACCTCCCCCAACCAGAGACCCTAGTAACTGGGAGGATCTGGATCACTACACAAGCTCTGTTTATTACACACTTCCTTTAAGGCATCCACCACTTGCACTGTCTGAGACAAAGATGCTGGCCGAGACGGATCCTTGGGCTGGCAGCTCTTACGTTCTCCATGAATGTTGATTGCATCTGACTGAGGAGAGTGTATTTTACATAGGGTTTTTTTCTGAATGATTCTGGACACAGCATTTAGAGAAGACTGAAACTAGCGTGTGCTCTTACCGTTAGGAAGCTGAGAATAAAGACTATCCTAGAAGTATCTGAAGCATTAAAAAAAGAATAGTGTTGTGACCTGGACAGACATCCTCTGTATTCTGGTTGACCCAGCTGTGTTACAGGCCCTCTCGGGCACAGAGGAACATTCCCGAGTTGGATCAGGAAAGTTTGGATACTAAATGCACAGCCCCTACAGATCCCGCTCCAGGTTTTTGGTGTGCTTGTGTGCTCTATGGGGGCAGGCAAGCCAGATGTGTCACCTCACTCTCATCAGTCAGAGCTCTACAGAATATCACTGGTGAACCAAGCATTTCTTTTCTGATAAACCCCTTCATTTTCAACCCCTTCCCTCCGTTTTGCAGCCATCTCCCTTGAAGCAAAGGAAGACCAGAATCCTAGGTGTTTAAGTATTCAGTTAAGGGTTATATAAATACTGAGATAGAAGGAAGCAGGATTTACACTATATTTTGACCACACTTTATTAAGTTGGGCTCTTTTGCAATGCAGGGTACTATATGAATATATTTTTTAATCTTTACTATATATGAAAACATGAAAATGCTTTCAATTTTTTAATGGAAACTTGCATTTTTTCATATCCTAAGACATGTAAACAGAAAAAACATTAAAGAATGGCAACATCTTGTAATATATTTTACTTAAGTTTCCTAGTGCTCTTTTTCTACTCTATACAGTGGCACATTTAATTCATCAAATGAATTATTAGGGAAACATCCACATTTAAATTTTCAGTAATATGATTCTTCTAGTGTCTAATCAGGAAATGGAATTTCCATCACGGGAAGCCGCAGGAGGGAGCAAGAGAAGCTAGTTGGTGCAAGTGCCTCTGGGGGTTTTTTTGCCCAGAATACTGAGACTAAAACAGCCATCCAGATCGGAAATGTCACTTAGCACTAATTACTACAATGTTTTTTTTGTCGTCTTTAAGCGCTTTTCTAAAAACCACCCTATCTTGTCTCATCTGCGCTATTCATTCAGACCCACTCAACCTTGAGTTCTTTTTCTCATAAAACAAGGTTATGCTTTTGTATGTTAATGTAAAATTAACACAAACCAATTATGGTAAAATGCAAAAATTAAACAGCAACAAGAAACCAATGAGTAATTCTAAGAACCACAGGCCAATAGTTCTAGATTCTTGCGCATGATTTATTTCCTAAATGTAATTGATATTCAAGACATGCAAAATCATTTTAAGGCTACATTTTGCATTTATACATCACCTACCACTGCATGGTCAGGAATGATCCCATAAACAAGAGGTGGAGGAGGTGCTGAGCCTTAGATCTTTCTCCTTCCTGTGCGGTGGGACATAATCCCCCGCCTCCCCCTCAATTTTGTCTAGTTACTTGTTGGCTAGAGCATACTTTCCTCCACCTGAAAATCTGTTCTTTTGCTAAACAGTGGTGAAGGACTGACACAGGCCTTCCCAGAGATGACTGCATTTCGATAGTCTTAATAAGCCCATTTAGTGGCTATGAGCTGTGGGTGATTCTTCAGGATGAAAAAGGTCACGATTAACAATAAAGCCATCCTTAAACAGTAGTCGTCACAGCAGGTCTGAGGGTTTTGGTAAAGGAGTGAAGGCAGCCTTCCAATTAGAGAAATGAATTACAAGCATTAAACCTTTGTAAAATGGGTTAGCAACACAGAGAAACTGAGATGGTCATTAATGTGATACCTGGTTCCATGTCATGGATGTTTAACTTACCTGAATGTTTCTTATGAAGGCTACAGTCACACGCTCTTCAAACTCATTCACAGGAGTGTAGAGATTTAGTATTTTTACAATCTGTTGAAAACAAAACAGGGTAACAGTCATGAGAAGCTGGTCTTCTCCATGGAAGTAATGCTACTAACTGTGTTCTTGATGCGGTCATCGTCCTAGAATTGTGTCAGTCCCATGTAGGACACAGCTAAGGAGTATAAACTGAGACACAACACTGTGTTCCTTCATATAATCAGAGATATGGGCCAACCCACCTCATACCACATGAATCCTCAGAAACTCAGGAAAAATTAACAACTGAAAGATTACTTAAGTTGAAAAACTTGCCCGAGAGAGAGAGAGAAGTGCAGAACAAAGCACACATTACGCCCAATATGCACCTTTGCACTTTGCCATACCCATGGGGGAGCCTGGCTTAAGTCATGGCACAGTGGTATTTCTGAAGCTTTTGCATGCCCTTCCCAGCAAACCATTTCCTCACATATTCATCACTTATTCTGTTTGGCTGGGATGATCTAGTTGGAGGTGGTCCTGCTTTGAACAGGGGGTTGGGTTACAGGACCTCCGAGGTCCTGTCCTACCCTAATTTTCTATAAGTTATGGTATCTGTCAAGCTCATCACTTAAGTTAGTTTGTCAGTTGACAAGTCCCAGCCAAGAAGTGGCTTTGCACAAGGGACTCCTGTCCAAGCACAGTGCTGCCAACTGAAAATAGCCCCTCGTTGGGAAAGCAGTATGGAATCCAGAGAGACTCAGGACAGGCAGACCTGCTCCCTTTGTCATGCTTCTGCAGCAACTTTACTAGTCCTTTCTTGGCCCTACCAGTTCTAGAGCTTCTCATCCTTGAGGCCCTATGATCCTCACTCACTCAACACAGCTGCTCCAAAAGGATGCACGTGGGTTCAAGAGGCTGCAGAAATGGTGGTTCAACGGGAAGGAAGGAGAAACCAATAGGATGAATGAGGTAAAAGAGCAGCACCCTGCACCCACCCCTGCTCCCAGTCCCACATGACTGCAAGGACAGACACTCAGAAGGGACGTCCTCCTGCACAGAGGCAGGATGTACTATTCCTAAATGATCCGAGACAGATGCCTCTCTGTCAAATCCAGTGGCGTACAATTGAACAAGCAAGATTAGGGGTTTACTTCCAGTGAAGTCCACAGGAGTTGTGCCACTGATTTAAATGAAAACCTGGTCAGATCTCATTCATCTAATAGGTGCATTTGAACAGAAAAGCTTAAGTGTTTGTCACCTCAAAAACCACTTGCTGTGAGACCAAAGCTTTGAGGGTCAGTGAATTTTGGTCTGTAGCACATGAAGTTTGAGGACTACTGATTTATACTGTATGTCTCTCAGGGCAGGACCTGTCCACAGTCCCACCAACAGCACTATAAAGCAATGCTGAATGGCATTTACAAGGTCTGAGCAGGCTCAGCTACACGTGTTAGCACAAGACAGTACACAATCCTGTAGCACCTCAGCTTCTCAGTGAAGGCTGACAGAATACTGCTCTTTCCCACTCTTCCCTTCAGCAATCAGTGCCCCAGGGCATAGATTTCTTATCTGATCCCGTTCCCTTCCCACTTAGCTGCTTTGTAAGGGGCTCACAAAATTTGGTTCAAAAGAAAGTTTTTATTTTAGAGGCTGCAGCACAAACTGACAAATGTCTTAACTTCTCTGTTTATGGTGAAACTGGAGGACAGCTCACAGACTCTGAGGCAGTACTACTATAGATCAGGGGTCAGAAACATACAGCTTGCAGAGCCACTGGACCCAGCCTGCAGAGCTGATCAGGTTCTCCTGTGTAAGGCAGCAAGAAGCTGTGCTCATGCTGCAGCTGGGGCACATGGAAAAGTGGTGGCAGGGCCACCTGCTGCTATAGATATTTAGAAAATACTGCTGTAGGAGTCATTTCCACCAGTTGAGCAGGGTGGAATGTTTTCAGCGGGGTGTTCACTGTGTTACAAATTACACTCTTAAAGCCACGTGCAGTTCATTCTAGGCTGGGGCAATGATCACGCAGAGCAAGCATCCAAAGTCAGATACAGAATCTTTATTCGCTGCAGCGAGGTGCCTCCAAGGAGGGACCCCGCCTACCAGTTATAATACTATTTTATACCTTGTTAGTACGTCAGCATTAGTTCGTGATTAGCTCGTGCTTGTAAGAATACCCAATCATCTACTAACTAAATTACTATTCTATCCAATCAAGTGACATTGTGCACGTGAACACCGAAGTTTAACTCTCACGACTGCATGTTTTATATATTCTTGCCAAGTAGTCTGCTTAAAAGAAAACAATTTTTGTACTGCTTTCAAGGTTTTTCTGTTGACGAGGCTCCTCTGTTGACCAGATTCAGCTAGTTTCATATCTTATCAGTAACCCTTTACACAGCACTTCTCTTCTTACCCATCTAATATGTGCTGTGTCTGCTTCTCTGTATTGAGGTTAAAGGTAAAAGAAATGGCCTTACTTCTATATTGCAAAATCCACACACAACAACTGCATATAAAAGAAGCATTGCTACTAAGTACTAGGACTAGCCTGCCAGAGCACATTCCCATCAGAACTGCCTCAGCCACATAAATTCAAGGCAGACGGGACACTCAAAGGAAGTGTCACCTGCATCCAAGGGAATTAAACCTGGGCCCTACAGCTGCTACTGAAGCGGGAAAGACAGGAGAAGCGCAAGAAATTAGCTAAGAATCCACTAGAGACTGGGCTGATCCTGCAATGGCCATATATAGAAAGCAGACTCTAAATGCCGGGGTGGGGCTCAGCATCTAGTCACTTAAACAGCACTCTCATATCCTGAGGACCGGACCAGAATATCAGAGAAAGGAGTATGTTGCTCAGACCTTGGAGCACTTGAGAATTGCCATACCCTACAGCACTTCAAAATGGCATCCTTGCTGCTGCAGTGGATGGGAAGGAACCACTCACACCTGCTTGAGAGCAGATGCCCTCCCTGTTGCTTACCTGCTGCATGGTAAGGGATGTACACAAGGAGCAGATGGCCTCGGCATCTTCTGAAGTTTTCTTTTTCAGCTGCAGGAGTTGTGCTGCCTGGATCAGGGGCTCCATGGTCTGTGCTGCTCCACTTTGTTGCAGGTTCTTTCCATGCAACCATTCCTCCAGCTGGCTGATGTTAAACCTGAACCCACACACACACACACGACATTAGTTCAACGGTCTCTCTCTCAGGGCTCATTTACAGTGAATGAAATGTGGCAGTGCTGGAAGGAGCAGAGATTTTGATGCATATTTGTGATGCATTTGGGTTAGGTTGTCCAGAACTTCACAAGCATTTGACAAAGTAGAATGAAGTAGGCTGTTGCATGCAAAAGCTCATGCCTCAAACAGTTAGTCCCCAAGGTGCCACCCAGCGCTGCCTTCTGCCCAACTTCAGACTAACCATAGTGACTGTAGCAGTAGCAGGGCACAACAAGGAGGTATTTACAGACTATGTGGAATCTGTGATTTTGAGAAACAAGGTCAATGAGATGCTTGTTTTAAATCTTCATTTAAGGTAGAAGGCTGGTAAACAATTGTGGCTCTTTTGCAAGTTTATGCTAATTACACTCTGGAATTTCTGATCACTGCAAAAGGAGCTCTAGGTAAGACAGCTACTTGGCACCCCGACTTCATAACTGGATCTGCAGGGCAGACCCTGAGGCCTTCGGAGAGCCTGTCTGAGGCCAGAGAGGCAATGCAGAGTCCGTCTCCACAGCTGTAACAGCAGGATGGAGGCTTTGATACCCTAACATTCGCTATGTTAGATATGTCCAATATTGCAATTTAAGAAATCAGGCACTGTGACAAACCCTGAAATGAGGTAGGTGGAGTGAACCATCCATTACATGATTATATGATACATTACTCTGCAGTTACATACATCAGCAATTGTGTGCTGCTTCTTCTACTGTTGGTCTCTTATGGTTTCCTTGTTCCATTTCACACAGCTTTGCAGATCCCATAAGATTTCTTTCCCTATTCTGCAGCATTCCAGATTCACACAATTCACAAGCAGTTGTCTCCTTACCAGGGCCTCAGGTAACATCCTACCTGAGCTGCATGCCAGTGCTCCACGAGCAGACATCCTTCCTCAGCAGGAGGTTGTTCAGCGTGACAGCATTAATCATGTAGAACAGCTGCTTGAAGGCTTGCTGGATGATCTCCGGGTCCAGGCCCTGCTCACACATGATGCTGTGAAAGGTGTTCAGTTGGCGAACGACTGCATCTAAGCTGTAGGTGTTGTCGCCATCTGGCATGCTGGAGGATCGCTTCCTGTAGCCCATTGGCTTCACACCAGAGAGGCCCTGGATGCTTTCGTTTTCCAACATTGCAGACACTAGGACAGAAATCAGAAAAGATGGAGATGAAGCCTGCATTTCCCCCGGCAGCACAAGGAATGATTTCGTATATTACTAATGCCCGTAGCCTGCCAGCTTTTAGTGTACTACTTGAGAATGCAATACAATACAATAACCAGCTGAACCGACTGGAGAGAGGACTCCGAGGCAGGGACTGCTAGTTTCTACTACCTGCTCTGGCAAACTCCTTGGAGAGTCACTTAACCTTTCTCCATCTGTAAGTGGGGACAATTAAACTGACTCTCCCTACCTCAATGGTGTGTTGAGAAGATTAAGTAGTTAATGGCTATAAAGCACTGTGAAGATAAGGTCCCAGATATTAATATTAAAAGCAGAAGAACTCAGGTAACATACGGTAGAAATGACAAACACCTCTCCAGTGAGATGTAATAAATTTTCACTATATTCCCAATACCCAACCTTACATTCTGCACTTAAAAAGATTAAGTGGCTTGAGACAGAGAGATGAGGAAAGGGGTAAATTCTTATAACCTGGCAACATGATAACTCATGGAGGAATACTGTTCTCAACAAGAAGCACAACAGAGCACAAGATGTGATGTCAGAAAGGGAATGGATAGGAGCTGTTGGAAAGCCTTTTTGAAAGGGGAAACATTTGCTGACAATGTAGTCTGTTAGACCGCAGGCTAGTGTCTCCAGGAAGTGATGACAGCCTCACAGCTACAGAATTGTTAATATAAATAGTTCCATAGAGGGAGGTGGACAAAGCAGTTCTGGAGGTATATTCTCTTTTATTATATTGATTGTAAATCAAAATAGACTTCATTTCTCATGGGATGTTTGGTCCTGCAGTTTGGATGCAGCCTTCATGGCTACACTGCTGCTTAAAATAGTGGGGTTAAAGTTTAAAAACAGTATCACTCAAAATACTATCATTTTCAAGTAAGCAACCATTAATGGTGGAGATGTGCCCAAAGATTTATGGACTTTTTTTTTAACTATACCTTTTTAATGCCACCTTAGTTAAGACATAAGGCTGCTTAAAGATGTTTAAAAGTAAAAGGTGCTTTACTTTAAAGTCAACCCACTCCTGCACCGAGCCCAGCATATACCCAGAAGAGGCACTGCATTAGTTGGACCCAGCTCACCCAACATCCATATAAATCAGGTGCTTTAGTGGGGCTTTTTTGGCACTTATCTAATAGCTGAGTGAATCAGCTTTAGATAAAACATGCCAAAAAGCCCCACTGAAACACCCAATCTATACAGATGCTGCAAAGCTGAGTCGAACGAATGCACCGCCTCTTTCAGTAAAGCACTTTTAAAAAAAAAAATATCTGTAAGCAGCCTTTATGTCCCTAAAAACTTAAGTGTTGCATACTTACCTATCATGGGTTGCAGCATGCCTTCTGCTATCTTAATAAGCTGCTGATAGATCTGAATGGAGAGGTCACTTAAAACCTGGCGATACTCTGTGAGATCGAAGTTCTTCAGACAGTGCTCATTCTGCTTAGCAGTGTTTTGCGTCATAAAACCCTAAAAGGAGGAAAACAACAGTACTAGGTTGATCATTCCACTTTAGTACAGGCCAGTAACATTATATTAAAAAAATATCTAGAAACATTTGTCTTCCTACGTACTGTGGTTTTTGAAGTAACAGCTGTAAAGAAAGACTTATAAATGATCTAAGCTTTATTTAACAGCTTATTCACAATGGATTTTCCCTCTTTAAAGAGAAGTATCATTAACTAATCACCCTCCTTTTAATTTTACTAAAAGGTAAAAATGTGTGTTAATTAAAAGATAAAGCACATGTCCCATTGAAAATGCCTCATCAGTTCTTCATTAAACACTAGCTATTTATTCATTATACTGTGAACACATGCTTCAAAGCCACCAGGAGCCAATATTTTAACCTCAGGGTTAAAACGTCTATAACAATTGAAATATTTGCATGATAATAAAATGATATCTTGACTTCTTGATTCACTTATTTGCTACCTGATTAACAACTCTGACTTTCTGCAGGCATCTTCCAGTTCTTGCAGCTGTGGTTTTGATAACACCATCTAAGAAGCTTATGAATTTCCCTCACCAGTTGAATTCTCCCCCTGTATTTTCAAGACCCGAATACTGCAAATGTATTCTCATATTGCCACTAAAATCAGTGGACTCTGTACGTGGTCCTTGCTGGTAGCTATAAAGCAGCATAACCTCTGTTTGAAGTGAGCATGGTGCATAACTCATGTTTGTACAACGGCTTTGTCAAGCTGCAATAAGACAGGAGATGTGCGAGTAATAATTCCCCCAGTTTTCTAAATGAAACAAAAAGCAAGATCATTTGGGGTTAATCTGAAAGAAAAATGTTTGTTTTCTTGGGGAAAAACAACAAAAAACAATCCTCTTTTGGATGATCAACACTAATTTGGAGCAACACATTTGATAAGCTAAATCAGTCAAAATATTAAAATAGCAAACAACTCCACTGCCACTACTATCAACATCTCCCCATAACAAAACCATCAGAATTCATGGTTCCTACATATCTTTCCCAAAACGTGATAATACTTGATCCAATGCACTAATGCAATGGCAACTATGCAGGTGAAACTAAACACCAACTATGCACCTGATTGAATGCTCATAAAAAATATAAAGGATACCCCTCACCCCATTAGGAGCACACTTCTCACAGAACAGCCACTCCCCCTCTGACCTCACTACTCTACCTCGTACCTTTAAAAGGTGATCTTGGGACCACAAATTTCTAAGCTGGTTGGACACTAAGAACCAAGGACTAACCACTGAGATGGGGGAAATATAGCACGTCATAAAACCAAACTCCTGAATTCTTTCCACACATGAAAGGTGAAAATGAACCTCCTATCTTTTGAAAGGCCTTGATTTCAGTTTTTCTTCTGCTAATTGTATGCATGCTACCCCTGGGAGTCTCTCTCATCCCCACTCACTGCTGTTATTTACTATGCTGTGCCTAGCTCCTGGTCAGACGAGGAAGAATGTCTTGCATTCAAAAAGCTTGTCCAACTGATCCCAACTATATAGCTGGTTCATTAAAAGCTAGCACCCTAACAAATCCTTGCCTCTTGAAAAATAATAATAAAAACATTCAGAAAACCTTGGAAATGCCAAAGCAAATTGTCTCAACTTTTCTAAAGTTCTCAGTCAATAGTATTCCTTGAAGTTTACTCAACTTTTGGTGCAGACAGAAGTGAAGCTCCTGGGTCTAACTCATGGCAATTCACAGAAATTGCCATGAGTTAGAACAATCCCTCAGATCCAACAGACATTAGCTATTGGATCGAGAGGGTGGAGGATCAGCTCCAACTTGTAGCCAACCCAGGGAGACAGGCTTTGTCTTTTCCTGGCTCAGCCTCCCCTTCTCCCTCTGCCAGCTCCACTGTCGCCTCTGGATGGGAGTGGGTAGAAGGCAAGGGAAGGAGGTCTGGGGTCCTCTCAGCCCTGCTGGAGTGGGAGGCGGGTAGATTGGAGGTGAGGGAGTCCAATCCACCAGCCCTCCCCACTCCAGTGGGGCAAGAAAACCCCAGAAGGGACCTCCCTCCCCTGCCTTCTCCCCACTCCCATCCAGAGACAGCAGCTGAAGCAAACAAATTAAGTCACTCCACTCAGAGTGAATCTGTCATGTAAATCGGAGGGCTCTGCAGCTGTGCTCTTCTGTTTGGGCTCAGCTTTAGAGCGCTTTCAAGGGGCCGACTGTGCGTCAACTGTCATTTCTGTATGCGCCCTTTGTGAATAGTTGTGGTCAACCTGAAACTGCATCTTTGGCAGACAAATTACTACCCCAAAAGAGATATGCAGTTTTAGTTACAGGGGTTGTAGTTAAATGTAATATTGCTACAGAGACAGCAGAGGGCACTGAGAAGTAAAAATCATTGTTAACCAAGCCGCAACCACAGTTCCTCTATTAAAAAAAATAATCTTGGCAATACAAACCTGATTTTTTATAAAGACACTAAAACCTAAAGAATATAATGTGTTATGATTCTAAGGCAACATTCATCTTGGACAAATCTTCTTCCCTGTATCCTCTGAAGCCTGACTTCACACTAGTTAACAACACATATCAAGAGTCAATTAAAAAGGAAGCTACCGTGGCTCTGTTCCAAATGCTAGTACCATACCATATGGCTGTAAATACATCTCCTCAATGCCCCTGTGATTAGATACTGTGTAAACATGCATTATATTATGTCAGCTGTGATAATCCGAGTCTGTCGCAGGGATCAAAGTAGATTGACAAATTGAAGATGTGAGAGACCTACAAAATGATATCAAGGCAGTAAGCATAAAGTTATTAGCGCCCCCCCCCCCAAAAAAAACAACAAACCCCAACAGGGGTCTGGAGGAGGGGGGAGAGGAAATTTCTTTAAACTTTTCTTCTGTGAAAAAGGTCAAATGAATGAAAAGCCCAATGCTACAGGCTGACTGCATGAAAAACCTGTTGGAATAGTTTGAGCACTCTCAGACTGGCCCCAAAGAAAGCAACTTTTCCAATCAGAAACCCCCTGGGAGTTTAATTGCAAGTGCGACATTCCCGTATCAACAGAACGCGAGGGAAAGGTCATCACATTACATTTTAAGGGGCCCAAATTCTGCTCTGAAGCCAGTTTTACTCCAGCCAGTCTTCATGGATTCGTCACTGGGGCCATCCTGAGTTGCATCAAAGTCAAGCCCTGAATGTAACAAGCCCTCAAAGCTATTTACCATTTCAGCATGATCACAGAGTCCTACACTACAGCCTGAGCAAAGCTGTGAGACAACACAGCCTGTGGAAGGAACAGCAACATTTAAAAATGTGGGCACACTTCCTCTTAGAGCTCCTTACCGTATCCCCGCTGTACTGCTTTAGGCAATGCAAGAGGCGACACGTGTTAGCCAGCCAAAATGACGTCATCTGAAAGTCATCGTTGTGTTTCTGTGGAGAGCAAAATTAAACGTGAGCTTCCTCTCCAGCAGGTGCAGGGGCAGGTTCAGATGAGGCTTTTTGCACACACAAAGCTCTATGACCTACATGCACACAAAACTCAGAGGTACCAAAGGGCACATTCTTTCCATTCCTATACGAGACCTGGCTGACGCTTACTCTGACAACCAGAGTGCCAAATCCCGCTCTTTGGATAAACAGTATAAAACCACAGCCATGTCAGGCAGATAACTGGAGCTATCCTGGGCTTGCCACAGCATAGAGCAGAGCAGGGCCTGACCCATTTTATTTATATGAACTAATCAAAAATCACACACTTTGAAGCATAAGAAGATCACCTGTAGGGATCAGGAAGGCCTCTGCTAGGATGAATGACTCCTCACTGGGATGCCACTGACAAAAGTGGGATCCTGCCTCTGTGGCCTAAGTGCCATAAGACTGGGGGTGCATTGATTTTGGGGGTCGATAACCGATTTTTAAGGAGGGATATCAGCTGATAATGATCTGATTTCTGATACAGCTGTGTGCAGCTGGCAAGTCTGTTGTAGTAAAAGGGGAGTGGGAAGGGAAGAGGTGTGGGGGGGGTGCGCAAAAAATCAATACCCCCCGTGGTAAGGGAGGGAGTGGGGCTGGGGCAGGTGCTGCCCAGCTTGGGGGAGGCTGGCGCCTGACAGAGCCGCAGCTTGTCCAGGGCCAGGAGCGTGTGCCCCCAGATCTGTGCTGGGCAGGCCAGGGAGGCTGCAGCTCTGCACTCAGGGTGGGTGGCAGCAGCACTGGGAGGGGGCTATGGGGGGCTGCAGCCACCCCAAATTTTGCCACAACCCTACCCCCCCAGCACTGCCACTGCCTGCTCAGAGCACAGCACAGTGCAGTCCTCAGCCCGCAGCTGCAGCCTGCCCAGCACAGATCCAGGGGCACACACTCTCCCCGCTACATGCCCTCCTGGACAAGCGGTGGGAGCTGCCGGACAAGCCACCAAATGAGCAATGCACAGCGGCAGGAGTTGCCTCGGTGCCCTCCAGATGAGCCGTGGCTCTGTCCTGTGGCCTGCCCAGGCCCCAGGCCCACTCCCTCCCTCACCACAGGGGGCGTT